AGGTGACCATTTTAATCTCTTTCGCTGAACGAAATCGATCCACTTCTTTCGTCTTTTCCGAGCTTCCTGTCGCTCATCATTCGCAAATGGTATACAATGCAGCACAATACCCTTTTCGAGGTTCGGTTCATTAGAACAGCCATACACAACACACCTATTTGGCATTTTTTAGCGATAAAGACTACAATGTTTTCCTATAGCTTTTGTACACATTTACATGATATGCGAGGTTTCTCTTGAAAGCCTCTCCCTGGGTGTACGTCTCTTCCGGCAAGTACTTACCAGGCTCTCTTCTCCCGGTCATATTTTCAAATAGCCAACTTTAACAGCAAAAATGATAAGGAAGATTAAATTTTTGCTGATGACAATATTAAGCAAATCGTCTTAAAATGTTCGAAATATGATAAATATGTAAAAACCTCAATCATGAGATAGGCACTTTAATTTCAAGTTGGCTACAAATCTCAAAACGTCCGCCGTAACTCGTATTAACTTGATCCATCGTTAAAACGGTAACAAAATTTTGAACTGGTTTAGCTTTCCTTTCCTTTTGAACATCTCGTGTAGAAGCTTGATTTAATTTCTGATATGGCCACGTTTCCTCAGCGGATAACAACCGTGAAGGACATTTCCACCACAAATCGCTCTCTTTCATATTTCTCGATGTTACTCCACGAGTCAGTAAGTCGGCGGGATTTTCCACCCCTGGACAGGGCCTCCCTGCGGATCCCACGTCTGTTGAATCTCTGCAAAACGGTTAGCAACAAAAGTCTTCCATTGTGAGCTAAGTCCTCGAATCCAGTGAAGTGTGACTTCACTGTCTGTCCAACAAACTACGCGCTCTATTTCTTTAGAAGTTGAGAATAATGACCCTGCAACAAATTTGAATAACCGCCGACTGATCATAGCAGCAAGCAGTTCAAGTCTGGGTAACGACACGACCTTCGCAGGGGCCACTCTGGTTTTCGACATGACAAAATAGGTGTCAACATCACCATTCTGTTGGGTTACTCTGACGTATACAACAGCACCATACGCCTTTGGCGAAGATCTCCAAACCCATGCAGCTCTACACTTGGGAATACTAATTTCGTTTATCTTAGGCAACTCAGACTTCCAGGCATTCCATTGTTGTAGAATGTCGTCAGGCAATTGTTCATCCCATTGTAGACCTCTGTTCCACAGCTGTTGGAACAGCATCTTAGATCTGGCGGTGTAAGGGGATCGTAAGCCCATCGGATCAAATATTTTGGATGCATCACTCAGCATGTTCCTCTTGGTCTCGCATTCGTGCAAAAGGAATTGATTCTGCGGGATGTGGGAATCGATGCAGTCCGTTAAAGTGTTCCAGCAGATTCCCAATGCTTTAATCATGGAAATGAATCAACGCGTTAGATGCTCTATCTTTTTCTTCAGCGTGACTGAGGACGTCCTACGTATTACTGGACCACTTTGTCAAATTATGCGCAGCACGATGCATTAACTCTGTCAGTGCTTCTTGCAACTTTACAGCTTCTTTTTTGCCTTCGTCTCCTGTCAGACAATCATCAACATACATGTCATCCATGACCATCTTTGCAGCTTCAGGAAACTCTAACACAAACCTTTCCGCATGATTCTGAACTGTAGCTATTGCAAGGAATGGGCTGCAGTTGAATCCGAACGCAACTCGCGTCAGCCGGTATATCGTTGGGGAACCATCTATTTGCATATTTCTCCAGACATAGCGATGAACATCTCGATCATTTTCTGCAAGCTTTATCTGAAGGAACATTTTCTCATCCGTCAAATTTTATGAGTATGTAAACGTAACAACACCGAGACCAGATTAGGCTGCAGTGCGGGAGCAGGTAAACACAATCATTAAGCGAACCACCGTCCTCTTCGCGAGCTGTGACATCAAATACAACACAACATTTTGTAGTTGTCTTTTCATCACGAAAAACAGCATGATGATGCAGATATCGTACCAACTTAATATCATTGTCATGTGCTTTGGTATCTTTGACTTCTTCAGCAAATCCTCTCTCATGTTAGTGGTTGATTGAGCTCCTGTAAGCTTCAGCTCTTATCGGATTTCTGAGCAGTTGCTTATCTACACTTTCTAGTCTCTTGACAGCCTAGTTGTAATTATCACAAAGCTCTGGATGATTTTCTCTCAATGGTAAAGATACTCCGTACCATTGGCCATCAAGTTTCAATTCTCTTTTAAATTGGCAAACAGCATCATTCTCTTCGAGCGATAGTTTAGCTCCCTCATCAACAATACCAATTGCATCTAAATCTCCCAAAAGCTCTTTAGAATGCTCTCTACAGGATCAGGACGAACACAACTAAACATTGCGGTGGTGTTACTAGTGGATCAACCAGTTAAAGGTCCTGATACAACCCAACTAAGCGTGGAATTTACAGCTGTCAGTGTGTCCGATTATGAACCTTTCATGAATTCACACATTCACGAATGAGAAGTAATAATATGCACCTATCAGAATGTCCACTTTGGCCTAGCCTCTCGGGTAAACGTCAGTGAATATGAGATTAGCAAGATGTAGATTTGCTTCCATGTTCAAGGCGACTGCAGGCTCTAAGGGTTGACAAATCGTGTTGACAGTGAGAGCTTTCATCTCAACAAGGCAGGAAACTGAACTTCGTGCTGGGCCGAGTGATATATCGACCCTTTTCATCATCTTAGTTTGGGTTTTAGTTTCGCGAAATGTTGACACATTGAAAGTCTCTGTAGGACCGCTAAGATCATGTCTATCAGCCAACTTCTTTGTGATGTAGGATCTTTGGCTTCTAGAATCCAGTGACACTCGGACGGGTACGGTTTAGTCATCCACAATCAAATTTGCCTTCGTAGTCTGAAGCAACACCTGTGTGGACTCTTCTCGTTTGGATGCAGCAAAGCTGTTATATGTACCCACTACTGATTTCGAGCGATGCAATAGTCGATGATGGCGTTCTTTGCAATCTTCCACCCCACATTTCGGTTGTCGGCACACTTGTAAATAGTGGTTTCTATTGGTAGAACTAAGGCAATTGAAAAACAGGCGAGCTTCTTTGACTTGTTTCCATTTCTCTTCCACAGTTTGCGCATTAAACCTTGGGCATTCTGGAGCACCATGTCCACTGCACTTACATAAATCACATATCTTGGTTGTGTTCATTCCTCGGCTGACGTCAGTTAAAAGGGCAACTGCTGTAGAGAGCTGGGATTCTTCTAATTTCTCAGCGGACTTATTCAGTTTTTTACCATGAAAAGTATTGGCTTCTTTCATTCCCCCTTTTGGAGAAACACCATTATTCCCCTTGGCACTTCTTTGTCCAGCCTCTTTTGAGACCACCTGCTTATTTAGGAACTTAAAAAAACAGGTTTAAATCAACTTTCTCATCATCCATATCAGATATCTCCAATTCCCATTTCTCACATATCTCAGGAGGGAGTTTCATTTCGAATGCTGGGAGGGGTATACAGGCATGTTTTTTGGGCATGTGGTCTGATTCTATTCTTTAGAGTTCCATGTAACTCACGGAGTGATGCTGCCTATGCATTTGCTCAAGTTCCAAATTGTATAATTGACTTGACTAATTACGAAATAACTAGAAAATACATGCATGCAGAAACCCTCGCCTTGCTGACAAACAGACAAAACCATTGTATTTTCCGAACATGAAGTATCTAAAGTAGTTGTCATGGTAACACGATAATTTTTTAAGAATATTCTTACAAATGATAAATCGCC